TATGACAGCTGGAATGTAGGACAACTTCACCAGACAAGAGTTATATGGAGGCATCTTGATGTTCCATGATGTGGTAATAGAATAATTCATATTCCCAGGAATGAGACATCACAACTCTTTCGGTCGGTATTAATAAGAGTTCATGGAGTATTTGAGGCATCTCAATGCACTCTAACAATTTAATAGGCTAACTTAGTATGTGGTAACGCATAACGAGTATAGCGGAGTTAGCTTCATGCTTTAAAACTCTGTAAGTATGATTGAAGCATCTTTGTCTTAGTAGAAGCGAAGAGGTAGAATACCTCTGGCTAGTGTAAATGACATCTCGACGCTCATTAAAATACAATGGAATCACTCCTACTGTTAGAGTGGAGACTCTATATCCTCTTTGTTAGTTTTCATAAGTCATAAATCTTGGGGAGTAAAGGCATCTCAACTCCCGATGGAGGCAAATCAACAGTGTCTAAGGGTGAAAGCATCTCGCTACCAGAAGGTAGTAAAGACATCCTCATTCATTTGGTCGATTTATGTGGAGGCGGCTCAATATATTCAACCAAAGGTAAGGTATTTTCCACTATGGAATCATAGTGAAGGTATCTCAATGTCATGTCAACATGACATGATATAAATATTTTTCTAAAAGAACTGATATAAAAGGAAGATATGCGACGCATCTCTCAATGATTTTGATTTTTGGAAAAAACTTTAGTGTTTATATGCCATTAAATATTTTTACCACGTCATAGTGTTAAATAAAAAGTTTTTTTTGTATGTGAAGTTTACCAATTATTACACGATAAAGCTTAACTTAGCACTTAGTCATTGTCTCCTCGAGCGGGCCTATTTTTTCATGTTTTCTATACCTCATCTTATCATTTTATATGGACTATAGGAACTAAAATTACCTTAATTGGCGAATGCGTATCTTTGTTATTGTTTATGCGAAAGGTGGAGGAGATATTGTATGGTTAGGACAAAAAAGTCTTGTTGCATTAGGACCCTTCACCCTTTGCATGTTGTGCTCCCATTGGAAAGACATTCTTGTGTTTCTCATGTTACCTTATGAAGGGTTATCTTAATCACATGTATCAAAAGCATGAGCAATTTGCTCTTGTTAACAAAGTCCTTCGGTGCTAGAGGTTATAGGTTGTGTGTGTGAGGTTTTTAGTTGGCCATTTAGATTAGAGATTTGTTTTTCATAATCAAAGTCTTGATAATATTCTAGTTGAGGGAAGTATTTACAATGGTGATCAAAAGCTTTGTAAAATGCTAGGAATGACTCATAGTCTATTAGAAAGCTGATTTTTCGATGTAATTCCTCAAGATAAACATACTCAGGGAATGATTGGTTTGAAGGGTTAATCGTGACTAAACTTTTTCTGATAGAAAGTGTTTTACGCCCACCACACCATTTATTAACGAAAACAATTAAGTTGTGGTGATTATTGACGGTTCATTTTTTCTAGTTTAAGAAAATACTAAAAATTAATTGTTTCATGATCGATGGTCGATTAAATATGATAAATGATGTTTCCTTCATCAGATGAGGAAGTAGGTATAAGAATAAAAAGAGAAGAGGGTCCTTTTGAGCCATACAAGGTGACTTCAAATATTTTCCCTTAGTATCGGTGTCAAATGTATGTCCATGATGACTACTTGTAGATTGACATGATCAACAGGTTTGATTGATGTGGTCGATTGATAAATTAATTTTGACTCTAATAGATTATGTTAGACATGTTAAGGGATTATGGCTTCTCGGGGAGTGAAAGGCTCTAAGTCCCTTTTGTCTCATGTTTGAAGATATTTTTCTCGATGAGTATAAACCTCGGAGTGTAAGACAACTTACTTCTCCAGAGGTCAACTCCTTCAGATGTTTTGATGTGCAAAACGAAGAAAATAAGAAATGATTATAACGAGAATCTACTTTTCAGTTTTTAAATACTTTAAAGATATTTTATAGTATATTCAATATAATTTAAAAAAACAACTTAGAAAATAAATATAAAAATATCTTAAATGATGTTATATAAAAAATTTTATAAATCAAAGCTAACACAACTAACTTATCACACATTATACATAATATATAAATGTAGCATATAGGCACAAAGGCATATTAAACACATGCATATAATCAAATTAGCAAAACTAACATGATTTTAATTTTATGTACTTATCAACTATCACTGCACATGTTATACACTTTTATCTAATGCATCTACACATAACAAACATGTTTTCAGTATCATACATTCATATAATCAACACTTGTACAAAGTATTATTATTAAATTAGTTGAGACTTAAGGATTTTATATCCAAACATAGTTTAGAAACATCGTAAGCCATTCAAATCAATCATACACAAATGTAATAATATTTTGGATAACTTAAATTATTATTCACACATTCTAGCACATCGTATAATAAACTAACATATAAAGCACACTCACTTCGCTTTTGAGTTTTCAAATTTGTAATTTTATGGTCATATGGTCTTATATTCAAGGAAAATTTAAAAAATTTAGAAAATAAAAAATATTATATATTTTTACTGAAATATATTCAACAAATAGTAGTAGACTAAGAATGAAGAGAGAGAGTCGAAGACTTTTTTATGAGAATTTTTAAAATTTTATTTTTTAGTAATTTATAATGTATTATTAAAATTATTTATCAATTATTGTTCACCTAAATAATATTTTTTTGTTAGAATATAATAAATTCTGAGCTTCCCTCGACTATTAGGTGTTGGGATGTAAGGTTCTAAGTTTAACTTTTATAGTCTCATTTTTCATAGTATTATTATATAATTGAAGTATTAAATTTATTAAATTATTAAAATATTTTAAATTAAAATGAGAATTAAATCGATAGACTTTTAAATATTAAAATTTTATTAAATTATTTTAAATTATGATCAAATTGATAAAATATATAAATTTTGAGATACTAAAATTATTATTATATCAAATCACATCATATTTTTTATTAAATACTTAATGACCGTTGATCAAAATAAAAACGTAATTGATAATTATGAAAAATTAAATATTATGGTAAACATTATAAGATAGATGTAAGAGTATAAGGACCAAGAGTATAATTTACCCATTTAATGGTATGTTTGATATTCTAAAGACTGAAATGGACATGTCCAAGTGCTAACCCCTCACTCCACCCACGATGTCGCTGCTAAATTGGCTGACTGAAATGTCGGATAAGCCCTCCCTCTGCGTTTGATTGATTTGCTGCTATGGTGTTGTGATTGGCTGAAATAGGATTTTAGTATAATTATTTTTTGGTTTAGTGGAATATTATAATATCCGTGTATTGTTGAAAATACAATTCATCTTTGAAAAGTTGTTGGAAATATTGTACATCTTGGAATGACCTGGGTTAAGTCACACTCCAATCACCTCTAACTTACAGAGTACAAATTACAATTTGCATAGTGCATCTTCAAGCAATTTCAGGGGAGACATTGAGATCCTGGCGTCTCCTTAAAATTATTTAAAATTGTAAGGTAGTCCTTGTATCACACAATATAATCGCATTGTGTTTATACGATTTTCCGATTATTATAATATTCATTTCATCTCAAAAAATAATTCTATTAATATGTTAATTCAATCAATATTTTTTTCAAGAACTCTACCAGAGTAAATCAACCCTCTACATTCACATCAGAAATCTATGCACAAAGATCTACCCCTCGTCCTATCACACCTTCCACGCGTCCTCTCTCGTACCATCATCCGTTCCCATCATTTCTCATCTTACCCCATTGTCCAAGCCTCGCGCGTTCGACACTCCCCTTATTTTTATGTCTACCCACTTTTAAATTGTTGAGCCAAATAATAATATAATTATTCAACTAATAAAAAATCAGATTAGTTGATTATAGTAATTAGAACATAAGTGTTGAGTAGGATTGCAAATGTCACGAGTTGAGATAAAATATTATTGAGATACTCAATTTAAAAATTTAAAAATCATGTTTCACTCGATTAGTAAGTTTGTAAGTTTAAATTTTTTTAAGTTCAATTTAAATTCGAAATAAAAAATTAAAACCTGATGTAATTAAAAAAACTCAAGAGCTTATTTAAAAAAATCACAAACTCTCGATATTCTACTCAAAATCTTACGAGCTTAAATTTGTCATGCTTAACGCTAACTCAAAATAAAAAATTAAAATTTGACTTGATATTGAAAAAATTTAAACTCAAAACATTCTCAAACTTAACTCTATTGAAATTTAACTCGAATTCAATTTAAGACTTATATTTTTTAGATAAGAACAATATATAAATATTAGTATTTTTTGTAGTTTAATTTAAAAATTAGAATTTGATATATTATTTTTTTTCTACTTGTGAAAATTTCTAGTTAGATACCAAATAACTCACTTTAATTTATTAAAAATTTATATATAAACCGAATCAAATATTTAACATTTCATTCCTCATTTATAGCACAATGTTGAGTGAAAAAATATCAACGTTTGAGTTCACGCGCTCCAGTGCAGGAAATGTGGAAGTGACGGTCAACTGAACTTTCTCTATCATAACAAATCATAAAAAACCACGTGTTACATAATAAGCAATCTACCGGCTTCATGTTTTTTTACTTTTTTAAAAAAGAAAAAGCTAATCCACTTCAAACAGAATATTTATGCCTTCTCCCGAGGTGCATCCACGTGTGCACTTTTTCAAGGTTTTTCGACACGTACTTATTTCTCATTGGGTAACACGACGAGCCAACCAGATAGCTTTTATTTTCTGAAACTGACCCCATCCGGTTCAACCAATCAATTCTCCTCACTGTTTCAATTGTCGCCCACGGACACGTGGAGTGCTCTGATTTTGGACACGACTACTACCTCTGGTAAAGTCATTTGCCCTTTGATGAAACAGAAGGGAAAATAAAACCAAAATTTAAGATAAAACAAAGCGAGAGGGTTTGTTAGCCTTTTTTTCAAGTTCTTTGGAACGAGAAATGGAGGGTGGAGATGCTTGGAGGATGCTAAGATGCGCTGGCGGTGTACAAGATAATACGATAATCAACCGGATAATGCTCAGATTCAGGCCGATTGCTCCAAAACCGGCGAACGGAGACTCGGTTTCCGGTGATTCAACGTTTGGTAACAAGAACACGGGTGTTACAAGCAAGAGAGTAAAGAGAAAATACGTTAGGGTTTGTAAGAGAAATAATACTAGGAGAATAGCCTTGGATGAAGCTAAAAAAGATAACGCTGGAAATAAGGGTTCCCCAAGTCTACATCTGTTGCCAGAGAGTGCTGATCTGGACAAATCAACGGTTGGGGGTGATATTGATCTCAGTCGGACAGCAGGTGATAATTATCCTATCCAGGACCCACCGTCCCCGTGCTTGAAGTTAAAGAAAATGGTTGCAGCAGTGGGGCCGTCGGATCAGACGGCGTTGATAGCCTCCAGAGGTAGGACTAGGAGGGTTACGGTTTTGGAGTCACGTGTGACGGTGGAGAACGTGACGGACACTTGCATGGATGGAGGAGAGATTGGGAACTTCACGGACGTGGAGAGAATGAAGAATCTTGAACATGACACGTGTCCCAGTTTTGTATCAGACGGTTGGAACCATGTTTTATGGGTGAACGAAGCTTACAAGAAAATGGTGGGCGGAGGAACCGCCGTGGGGGTGGTGGTGAAAGAAGGGTTAGAGTTCCCACGGGGTTCTTTCTCATGCCGAGTAGGGTTACAGTACGTTGATGGAAAGGGAAAGAAGAAGCAGTGGAGAATGGTTCCTTGCGACGTGTGGAAGATGAGCTCAGGTGGGTTTGCTTGGAGGCTGGATCTTAAGGCTGCTCTCACTTTGGGACTCTAAGCCATTCCCATCTTTCTGCAGGTAAATTCAGCTATGTTTATCCTCACAAAAAAAAATTAAACAATAGGGTTTTAAAACAATATAATTTCGTTATATATATATATATATATAAAGATAAGATTGTAAACGAGTGTTGATACAAGTGGTTGAGATTCAAGAATTTGAGCATATAAGATCAAGTTCGAATTTAACCACCGTCACTATGTAATGTCCTATATAAATTTCAATTGAGCCTTAGAAATGTCTTGATCCGGAACCACCCTAATTTAAACTTTTTTGTGTATCATATATATATATATATATATAAAGATAAGATTAGGAAGGAGCGATTTGTAATATTGATTGGTAGGTTTGAGGTTTTATTTGACTGATTTAAGAATAATTATTTTTAATTTAAAAATGTAAAGAAGTTTAAAATAATTTAGGTATTATATAAAACACATACATTATATAATATTTATATAATATCCTATACATGTTAAGAAAATAAATTATTATCTCATACGTTGGTTGTATTGATATTATCTATTTTATTTAGAACTTAAAGAGTATAAATTTTATTATAGAATTCAAGGTTTAGAATCATTTAATATATTAAATAATATTTAAGTATACCATGTAATATTTAAATAACATTTCAAATTTATATAATCTATATATCAAATAATTTTATTACCAATACAAGATAAGTTTTATTCAGTTGAAAACTTAAAACATAGAGTACCATTAGGGTTTAACTGGGTAATTAATAAAATTATTTTGGTAAAAAAATAACTTAGATCACAACACTAATAATTTCTCATAATATTCTGTTTAAAGTTATCATTTTTCCCAAAAAAAATATAAGTAAATTGAAGGACATTAACAAATACAAATAATAATAATTATGAACAATATATGTACTTCATTTAATTTAAGTAAATATTATTAATACTATTATACTAAGAGAGAAAAATTTTGTTTTTTTAGGAAAAAGCAAAGAAAAATCTACAGTAAATTAAGAAAAATACGTGGCAACAGCAGACAACAGCCATCCCGTTCCAATCCCACAATAGAAATAAAATCCAATCTCGATGGTGTCACAAATCCTCTACCAACATCTTTATCGAATACGCCACGCGTCCCTCTTCCTACTTTCTTGTTTCTTTTCATTAAATCATTTCTTCCATGCGCCATGTTCCCACGTAAACCCTTCACTCCTCAATTTACTCATTCAACTAATGTATGACATATTTACATTTATTAATGTAATATAAAAACATTATATACGTATTTTCAATTCCATTTCTAGAGTTTTTACCTCCACTTTTGATCGAGTGTAATTCGTTTACGTGTCGATTTTTTTATTTTTAGAATATAAATATTTCAATTAAATTAATATCACATATTAATAAAATATAAATTCATTTACAAATAAAAACTATTTTTGTAAATAATATAATAATATTTTAAAAATTATTTTTTACCATCAAAGTGAATTATATGTTATATTTAATTTTGATTCTATATAAAAAAATTATAATGTGGTTTTACAATATATTTGTGTAATTTATATGTTATAAGTCTTTAAAGTATGTTAAATAAAAAATTCATTAAAGTATGTTCAGATGAATGATTGTTCATATAAAAAGATGTGTTGTATCTCTTTAAAAATTTTAAGTTTAAATAGTTATTTATGTAATGTATATATTATAATAATTATTTTATAATATTTTAATAAATTAAATAATTAATTAATATTTTTGAAAAAAAAATAATAACAAAAAATATCGATTAATTATAATTTGAGTGGGCTATTTTATCTTACATTATTATAGCCAACTTCTGTGACGTACTCGTTATCCACTATCCAGTATGGTTGAGAATTTTGGTAGTGTTATTAGGTTGAAAGGTGAAGTACACGGCGGGAATTGGCGAGTGGAAGGAATAAGATATATAATAGTGCACACACCGATTTTAGAGGTCGCAAAGCTAATGATGAAGAACCACGTGTCCACTTTCGCGAACCTCCCCTCTTTTATGCTCTTTCCCATTTCATTCAACTGTAAAATATACTCCACTCTCGAGACTATACCCACGTGTCCCTTCTCTTTAGGAACTGTTGGACACTAGCCTTCTCTTCATTTGTTCCCATTGTGGACCCATCTACTTTTCACATGGACCCCACCTCTTAAATTTCAACCAATCAAAACACTCAGGTTTCCCTTTTTTGCCCTAACCACGTGTTGTTTCTCTGTAAATTTTCCACTATCGTTATCGCCTCTCCTAAACAAAACATCCCTCCGGATATTCAACGGAGGAAATATTTCAGAGTTTGAAGGGGAAACAAGGTTGGAGAAGCTTTGATCTTGTTTTTTTTTCCTGGCGGTGGTTCAAACGGAGGAGGAGAGATGAACGGTTGTGAGAAGTGGAGCATGGTTGGCTACACGGATGGTGCACAAGATAAGACGGTGATCAACTCAATAATGCTAAGATTCCGGCCTATAGCTCCTAAACCGGTCTCCGGAGACTCCGTTTCCGATGGGGCTCGGATTGATAACAAAAATTTGTTGCTTTGTAAGCCAAGAGCTAAAAGAAAGTACGCTAAGGTTCGAAAGAATAATATCAGGAGAAAGAAAAGATCATCATCAGATCCACTTCATCACGATGAAGCTTCTAAGAATCCTGAAAATATCGTTACTTTGCAGTTATTACCAGAGAAAACTGAAGGGAACAGATCGGTTAACAATCAAAACGGTAGAGTTTTGGAGGAAAATCAAGATCCTGTTTATTTATGTAACTTGAACTTCAACAACCTTTGGTTTGATAGCATGGGAGTTGTAGAAGAGCCCGATCGAACGGTTTTGACGGTTCAAAGGGGGAAGGAAATGGTGGTGGAATCGTGTGTGACGGTGGAGAGCGTGACGGACAGTTGCATGGAAGTGAGGGAGTTAGGGAGTACGGACGTGGAAAGGATAAAGAATCTGGAGGCTGACAAGTGTCCAGGGTTTATATTGTTACGGAATACGTCTATCGGATAAAGTAAAATCATAACTGATAATTTGAGAAAATAAAAATAAAGATAAAAGAGACACAAAATTTACGTGAAAAACCCCTAAAATATTTAGGGTAAAAATAACGGGCAACGGTAGAAGAATTTCACTATGAGAAAATAGGAATTACAATCTCTCTCGATCTACCAAGGAGAAAACAATGATAATTCTCTCTAGATAAAAAGGAGAAAACAACTCTCAAGAAACTCTCTAAAATCTCTCTAGTATTGGAAGAAAGCTAGAATGCTTTGGGATGGTTTTGAAGCTAAATGAGTTAGGGTATTTATAGTTGAAGTCTTAAGGACTAATTTGTAAATACCCTAAATTATAATGACTAAATTTAAGCTTTTACCATTTTATTTTTCAACAATTTCAGCCCCCTTTTTGACTACATGAATCTGTGCCCCATTTATTTTTAATTTTCCAACTTTCGGTGCCATGTGCACTAGATTTCAACAATCTTCCACTTGAAGATTTGATTGGAACAATCATATATTCACACCATTCTTTCTACCTTGTACCTTTCATGTTGCTTATGTATCTGACAGGCCACAGGAGGATCGACACCAAGTAAATTTATCGGCATTGATCGCCTTCGTCATGAAATCTGCTATGTTGTCTTTGGTATGGATCTTCTGCATATCCACTGTCCCTTCTTCCACTTTTTCACGAATGAAATGGTACTGAACTCGTATATGTTTTGTCCTTGAATGAAATGCTGGATTCCTTGCTAGATGCAAGGTGCTTTGACTGTCACAAAATACAGAGACATACTCTTGATTGTGCCCAAGCTCCTCCAATAGCATCTTCAACCAAATTGCTTCTTTACTGGATTGTGTAGCTGCTATATATTCTGCCTCTGTTGTGGACGTAGCCACAACTGACTGCAATTTTGAAACCCAGCTTACAGCTCCACCAGCAACTTTGAACACATATCCTGTAGTAGATTTGCTTTTATCCAAATCCCCTGCATAGTCAGAATCTACATACCCATTAATTAGTAAGTTTGATCCTCCGTAACATAATGCAGCATTTGAGGTCCCTTTGATGTATCTGAGGATCCTCTTTACTGTATTCCAATGCTCTTTGTCTGGATTCGCCATGTATCGACTAACCACTCCCACTGCTTGTGCTATGTCTGGTCTTGTGCATATCATAGCGAACATTAAACTTCCCACTGCTGATGCATACGGTACTCGAGACATCTCCATCCTCTCTTCTTCACTGCTAGGACTCATACTGGAGGATAATTTGAAGTTAATAGGAAGAGGGGTAGAAATTGGCTTACAATCTTGCATGCTGAATCGTGACAAGATTTTCTTCAAGTAATTCTTTTGTGAAAGCCAAATCTTCCTATTACTTCTGTCTCGGTGAATTTGCATCCCTAGAATCTTGTTTGCTGATCCCAAGTCCTTCATTTCAAATTCCCTAGCCAGTTGTGCCTTCAATTCTTCAATATGATCTTTGTTGGGTCCTGCAACCAACATGTCATCTACATAGAACAGCAATATAACAAAATCGTTATCACCAGACCTCTTGAAATAAGAACAAGGGTCTGCATTAAGTCTGTTGTATCCAAGGCACATAATGAAAGAATCAAATCTCTTATACCAACACCTCGGCGCCTGCTTTAGACCGTACAGAGATTTGTTCAACCTGCAAACCAAGTTCTTCTTTTCTTTTTCTTCAAAACCTTCAGGCTGGAGCATATAAATTTCTTCTTCAAGATTTTCATGAAGAAAAGCTGTTTTAACATCTAGCTGCTCTAGATGTAAGTCCAATGTAGCACACATTGCCAAAACTACTCGAACTGTTGTTAGTCGAACCACAGGAGAAAATATTTCATTGAAATCAATACCTTCTTTTTGAGCATATCCTTTGACCACCGGTCTTGCACGATACCTCTCAACTTGATCGTCACCATTTCGCTTGATTTTGAAGACCCATTTGTTACCAATTGGATTCCTTCCTTGTGGTAGTGGCACAAGGTCCCATGTATTATTTTTATGAAGGGCTTCGATTTCTTCTTGCATCGCCATTATCCACAGTGAAGCATCTGAGCTGTTTATTGCCTCCTGGTATGTTGATGGCTCACCGTCCTCTGTTAAAAGGCAGTATGCAATATTACCTTCTATAACATAATCCGAGTGCCAATTGGGACGTCTTCTCACACGATCTGATTGACGAGTTGTTGGAGCTTCAGAACTCTCTGGTTCTTGTTCATCATGTGCTGGTTCTGCTTTAGAAGAATCTCCTTCTTCAAACTCTTTTTCCACATGTATCTGAGTAGTCTCTGACTTTTCAGCGTTATCATCGTATTCTTTTCTTTGTAGCTTATCTTCTACAAAGATAACATCCCTGCTAATGATCACTTTGCGGGCAGTGGGATCCCACAAGCGATACCCCTTTACTCCATCAACATACCCCAAGAATTTGCATTTCCTAGATTTTGGATCCAGCTTTGAAATTTCTTGGGCGTTGTACATCACGTACACAATACTTCCAAATACATGGAGGTTTGAATAATCAACTGGTTTACCAGTCCACATCTCCATTGGTGTCTTCAGCTCTATTGCAGTTGATGGAGCTCGATTCACCAAATAACAGGCGGTATTGACTGCTTCTGCCCAGAATGATTTTTCTAGGCACGCTTCCCTCAACATTGCTCTTGTTCTTTCTAACAAGGTTCTGTTCATCTGCTCTGCCACTCCATTTTGTTGAGGAGTGTTCGCCACTGTGAACTGTCTTTTGATGCCTTCTTTCTTGCAAAAGTTATCAAATTCTTCGCTTGTGTATTCTCCTCCATTATCTGTTCTGAAACACTTGATCTTATTTCCAGAATCAAGTTCCACCCGCGCTTTGAAGTTTTTGAAAGTTGAAAACACGTCTGACTTCTTCTTAATAGGATCACCCAACATCTCCTGGAGTAGTCATCAATAAATGAGACAAAGTATTTTGCTCCACCTAGGGACGTTACTGGTGCTTGCCATACGTCAGAGTGAACCAATTCTAGAACACTTTTGCCTCTAGAATTTGATGTGTTGAATTTCAACCGGTGCTGCTTACTTGTTATACAATTCTCACACAAAGGAAGTGATACCTTTGTTAAGCCTGGAAGTAGTTTTTGCTCCATAAGGACTTTCATTCCTTGTTCTGACATGTGTCCAAGTTTCTGATGCCATAGCATTGCCGAATCTGAACTACATGAGGCAACAAAGGCTTCTGCTTCTACCAAAGTCTCTCCCTTCAGCATGTACAAGTTTGCAGCTATCTTTTCACCTTTCAGCACCACAAGCGCTCCACGGAACACCTTCATGATTCCTTTCCGTGTTTTAATCTTGCTTGCATTATTATCCAACAATCCGTAGGATAATAAATTTTTCTTCAGGCCTTTCACGTGTCGCACATCTCGAACAACTTTAATTGTTCCGTCATACATCTTCAATTTGATGGTTCCCACGCCAACGATCTCTAAGGCATGATCATTGCAACTATAAACAGATCCTCCTGAGACAGGTTCATAATGATGGAACCATTCTCTTCTTGAGGTCATGTGATATGTTGCTCCCGAATCAATGAGCCATATATCTGCAAATCGTTTTCTTCCTTCTACGGTGGTTGATGCTTCACAGCATAGAGCATCTCCATCATCTAAAGTGTTTGCGGTATTGCCTTGTGGATTGGAGTTTTTATTTAGACTCCAACAATCCTTCTTCAAGTGACCCTTCTTTCCACAGTTGTAACACTTTAAATTCTTCTTGCTCCTCGACTTCGATCTACCATGTTTGTGACTGCTACTTTGGCCACGTTCTGTTGATCTTCCTCTCATCGTTATCATCGTTGTCAACGCTTCTGCTTGTTGCAGATTTACTTGTATGTCTTCCTTATTCTTGCGCCGATTTTCTTCTTGTAGAACAGCAGCTGCAACATTATCGAAGACTAAACTGGTGACATTACTATTTGTCAAGTTGATGATGAGTTGATCGTATGAATCCGGTAGACTTTGAAGTAGAAGTTCAGCACGTTCTTATTCTCCTATTTTACAGCTTAAGGATGTAAGCTGAGAAAATAAGGTGTTCAGTGTATTTAAGTGCTCCGTCACTGAAGTAGATTCTGGCATACGGAGAGTATACAATTTCCTTTTAAGGAAAATTTTATTGTGCAGCGATGTGGCCTCGTACAATTTGGTGAGATGATCCCATATCTCCTTAGCTGTCTTCTTCTCCTCGATGCTTGACAATACTTCATCTGCTAATGCTAGATGAAAGTTTGCCATACCATTCCCGTCCATCTCGTTCCATTTGATGTCATCTGTAAAATCCACCGGCCTTTCACTGATAGCCGCTAGATACCCGTCTTTCCTCAGGATGGCCTTCATCTTCAATTTCCACAATGAGAAATTTCTCCCATTGAATTTTTCAATATCAAATTTCGTTGCCATAGCTTCTTTTACGGATAGCTCCCACTATTTCACTATCGTAAATAGTTCTCTGGAACCTTCAAAGAATGGGTAATACCTTCTTAATTTCTTATGTTGGAGGATCCACCTTTTGGTGGTAACCACAAAGACAATAAGCAGATATTACACACTCTAATCTAGCTCTGATACCAATTGTTGCGGAAGACGGCTATCGGATAGAGCAAAATCGCAACTGATAATTTGAGAAAATAAAAATGAAGATAAAAGAGACACAAAATTTACGTGGAAAACCCCTAAAATATTTAGGGTAAAAACCACGGGCAACGGTAGAAGAATTTCACTATGAGAAAATAGGAATTACAACCTCTCTCGATCTACCAAGGAGAAAACAATGATAATTCTCTCTAGATAAAAAGGAAAAAACAACTCTCAAGAAACTCTCTAAAATCTCTCTAGTATTGGAAGAAAGCTAGAATGCTTTGGGATGGTTTTGAAGCTAAATGAGCTAGGGTATTTATAGTTGAAGTCTTAAGGACTAATTTGTAAATACCCTAAATTACAATGACTA